AAAGCACTGAGTAACAGTCACCACAATATCACTAGGGTAATTTCTTAAATGTCTGGTAGGTGTTAAAGAGTAGTTTTAAGTTTTGATTAAGAATAAAAAAAAAAAAAAAAAAAACCCACACCCTGAGACTCAGGAGCTGTGCGAGCCTCGAAAAAGAAGGCAAAGGGCAAAGAAATGCAGTGAATGTTATTTGAGAGATGTTATAAAATAATATAATTCCTACACACTGGACTAGATGATCCCTRGAGGTCCCTTCCAACCTCAACCATTCTGTGAGACTTACAAAACTTCAGCATAATGAAGCTAGCAAATAAGAGGAAAGATGTTACCAAAGCAAATCTTGAACACGTAGAAACACAAAAACACGCCTAACGTCTGTGAGAGAACTGTTGTATTGTAAAAGTGAATAATATATTCAAACAAAATTTCAGAAGATGCTTTTCAGTGTTTTTCACCAATGAATTGCAATTTCTCTATCAGACCTCTTATTTTGAGGTAATAAGGGGAAAGTTGTCTCAAACACTAAGAATCAGAAACATTTTTTAAAATGCAATGTAATCTCAAATAACAATAGTAATGTTGGCCTAGCTTCCTTGATAAAAACAAAACATAAATGAAGATTGCCTTAATTTTAAAATGAAATTTAATCTGCTCTACCATTCTCGCTTCAATTTGGATGGGGTTCATCTGTGAATTTAGGAGATGTTAGGGGGTTAGTTGAACTAYTGAAGTATCAAATCTCTGTTTAGAGATCTGGAGAAAAGGTCTGCAAACCTGAAACCTCWGAAGTTACAGAGGTGTAAACACACCATAGGCCAGTAACATGATCAGAAAGTGCCTTTATTAGCAGCAGTCTTCTCCGAAAGTTATTAGTGTTTCAACAATCTCTTACAGCCTAAGAACTAATGAACAAGTAAGAATTCACAGACAATAACCCTTAAAAAAAATAAGTATTTATCCCGAATTCCAGCTCAGCTTTGCGGCTTACAAGCTGGCCTGGACGTACTCCGGCCACCTCTCCGAGAGCAGCTGCGGCTCCGCGCGGCCAAGGGCGGCAGCGGCGCCCGGGCTCAGAGGCGAGCGCGCCAGGGAGACGGGAGGAATCTCCTCCTCACCTTGCACCCAGATTCCCTGCGGGAACCCGACACGCCGCTGCCCCGCGCGGAGGCGCCCGAGGCCTGCGCGGGCAGCGCCGCCTCCCCGCACGGTTTCCCCCTTCCCGTCGGCATTCCCGGGATTTGAGGGAGCCGCTTTCGGCCCCGCCTGGCGGGAGGAGCGGGGCGCTGCAGGGCCCGGGCCCGCCCCGGGGAGGCACCGCGCATGCGCAGAGGCCGCTGCTCCGCAACCGCCGGCTGAGCGCTCGCGGCGGCGCCGCGGAGGAGCGGGGCGGAGGGGCGGGGGAGCCGGCGGGGGACGGGGTGCGCGCCGCCAACCGCCGCCAACCGCCGCCAACCGCCGCCATGTGGAAGCTGGTGCCCGCCGCGGGAGCAGGTGAGGGAGCGCGGCGGGGCCTCCCCTGCTGCGCCTGCGCGGAGCCCCGCCCCCCCCGCGGCGAGGGGCGCCCCAAAGCGGAGCCCCCCCCCTCACATCCCCCCGCTCCGGGTGCTTCGTGTCTGTATCCAAAACCGGTATTCAGAAAGTAACAAAAACGTTAAAATACGAAGCGTTAGGCTTAGACCAAGCTTCTGAAGTGGCCCTGGGAGCTTTGCGGTGTTTTCAGTGGGCTGAGCTGATGTTCCTCTCGCCCGCTTCCCTCCAGGGGAGCCCTACCGGCTTCTGGCCGGCGCGGAGTACGTGGTGGGGCGCAAGAACTGCCCCGTCCTGCTCCAGGATGACCAGTCCATCAGCCGCAGTCACGCCGTGCTCGCCGTGGGCCGTCCCGCCGCAACCCCCGTAAGTAGCCAGACCTTCAGAGCCCCTCCGGCGTGCCCTGTGTGGGGATCGACTCTGCCTATGGAGTTTCGCTTTCATTTCTGCTTCCCTGGTGTCTTGTGAMTGGAAAGGAAAGGGGATCGCCTGTCCTTCCTTAGTCTTGAAGTCTCCTCCAGCTTGTCACCCTGTGTTGGGAAATTGAGTGCCACAGTGCCGCTGGTTCAGCTTCCCATGGGAGAAGCTGGGATTCCTTCCCTCCCCAAGGGAGGATCCATTAGGAGTTTGTGTTAAGGTAGTAATACCAGAAAAAATACACAATTAAGTTTCCCTGTTTAGACAAGCTTTAGGTCGTGGTTCTGCAAGGTGYTTCAGTTGTCATCTCCCCATCGTGGTTCATAGAATAGAATGCYSAARGTTGGAAGGGACCTCAGAGGTCATCGAGTCCAACCCCCCTGCTCACGCAGGGTCACCCAGAGCACGTGGCACAGGGCTGCATCCAAGCGGGTTTTAAAGATCTCCAAAGAAGGAGACTCCACAACCTCTCT